TGACAACCGCGAGAACATGCTAACTTCACACACGTTTCAAGTAATGTCTTATCGATAAAAGATCGCGCGGCTTACGCACGCGTTCTTGTCGCGGTTGATACTGAAGCTGGAGACGTGTCGCTGTGAGCTTCATCGGGGGCCATGTTGACATTGTTCCTGTGTTAGCGTTGTGGGCTGTATATAGCGTCATAACCTGACTAATTAGTCGAGATCGGTTATTGTACTGAAACCGTTGAATATCAGCATACAAGGCACGTGCGTTTACAAGTCGTTCACCTCAATAAACAACGAACGTGCTGGAAATTCCAGGAGTAGTAGCACAACATACGTAATTGCTACTGTCACCGATGACCTTGAATTCTCGTCATATATATAGCAACCTGAAGCACGTTGAAGCGAGCTTTCCATATAATTTAAATCATTTTTCAAATGTTCTTTGCAATCTCATTTCGAATCTGGTGATAACAATTTATAATACTGAATCATACATTTATTTATTTTTTAAATATTTTTTCAATAATGTTGATTGAAGTAACAGTCGTCTTGATCAGAACAGCAACGCCCCTGTTCAGTGTAAACGCCAGGCTTTGCCATTATATCATAAAATTTATAATATAATGCTTTAAATCACCAGCTTTCTGACACGCATCCCATTTCACTTTTACACGGATATGACGAACAAAACTTTAATTGCATCTAATCTTGTAATAAAACGTATCGTTCCCACAGCAGGTATGGAACACAAACATAATGTAGACCGTCCAAATATCACCAGACGAGGAGGGTTCCCATGACAGGCCTAGCGTACCATGTGGTTTGTTTCCCATTTACCTACCTTCTAACCAAAATAACCACCATACTAAATATGTATTGACACTTTCAGCCAGTATTTGTTTGGATCGCTGTATTTTTGTTCAAACTGTAATGTACTTATATTTTAGTCATAAAGATCTTGGCCCGTATTGATTTTTTCTCATGCTCAAGCATGGATTTTGTGCTCAAACCAAGTTTCTTGTTACTCACTTAAATCATGTCAAACGAGCAAAAAGTGAAACGTAAACATTGAAAACAGTATTTGGCTTTTAGAACCTTCATTTTTTTCCAAAAAAAAAAGCATTTACAAAATAACGTTTTTTGTCATGAATTTATAAATGAAACAAGAAATTGGGCTTGAGCACAAAATCCATGCTAGAGCATGAAATGGTTTCGTGAATACGGGCCCTGAAATAGTATTTGTTGCTATTATTTATTTCATTAACTATATTGCCCTACCTACATGGCCCTTTCGATTTACCATATGATTTGAGTAGGTAAAGGAAAGACAAATTTGTCCTATAAAGCTTATCTCTTTGCACAACCAACATCGATCTAAAGATACGAACATTTTACTTAGTAACCCATGGTCGGTGTAACCGCGTATGTTTAATCGAGATAAATTATACTGTTTACCGTAACACAAACATCGGTGTTTTGCCGGAAGTAAAACGGACTGGGCAAATATATGACGTCACGAAGTCGATGCGTGCATGTGCAAACTTTTCAGACGGGTAGTTAAATATCCCGGGTACACATAAAATATCGACCGTAGCAGGCTGATAACAAACTCACGGCCCCTATCAACCGACCCCTACCTAGGCTGCATGATATCTGATCCAAACACGCCGATAAAAGCATTCCTGATCCCTACCTGGGGTACTGAAGGTTTGTTACCTCGGCGATAGACTACCTTTGCTAACTGGTATATATCTCCGCAGTGACTAGATATTTCAACATTTTTAAAGTATAACTGACCTACATAAAGAAATATGTATACAAAATACAAAATCGAACAATAGCAAGGTGAATGACACTGCAGGGAAGGGCGGCGGGGAGTGTAATCATAAACTCATTAGATGCTGCAGAGTATATACTGATGAAATACACACATCTATTGACAGGCGGTCCTTTTCAAACTTAACGAGTTCGGCTATCCCATTGAAAATCATTCCTCCGAACAAAAATAACCTATTGAAGACTTAAAATAGTTTTACACTAGATCTTTACCACATTACTAGTATATACCTGTTTTTCACTACATCTTTACCACATTACTAGTATTACCTGTATTTCACTACATCTTTACCACATTACTAGTATGTACCTGTATTACACTACATCTTTACCACATTACTAGTATGTACCTGTATTTCACTACATCTTTACCACATTACTAGTATGTACCTGAATTTCACTAAATCTTTACCACATTCAAGAGAGAATGTGTTCTATAATGTCATGGTAACCCGGATGAGTATGTCAAATACCGGTTGATGTATATTAACTGAAGTGACTGTTATAATCCCACCCTCCAATAAAAGAACCTGAGTTTATTTGAGTTATTGCTTCAAAATGTCACGTGGTGATGTTGCTAGCTCTCTTTTTGGAATACGTAGGCGAAAGTTAAGCACTTACAAATTGCTCTTTCGCCGTGTACATCATATATATATGTTACACACCTTATGCATTTCTGTTATGAGAATCATAAAGATACACATTCTGTAAAGAATCACATGAGAAGGGCTTTGTTCTATGTTTACACACTTGCAACATCTCGGTCAATTCCGTCAAGATTCGGATTCATTACGTGCCTTGACGAACTTTGCCGAGATGTAACGATAGGTGTTTTACGTCAGCCATATAATGTTGGTGTTCACATATAATGAACCATTTTTAAAGTGTCATCTCACTGAAATGCCATTCCCTGGACACGGGAGCATCACATCTCATTCGTTCGCGTGTTTTCTTAAATAAAAGGCAATAAAGACAAACTAAATATATTTTCACTCGCCAGCAATACCGATTTATAATTGTAATATACCACAGAACCTTCTTACTGTATTTGAAGTCTACAGAAATTAAAAATATAATGTAATCCAGTAATCAGGAGCAGAGTAAAAGTCTGTAAGTGCTTTGAACATACAATTGTAATTCATGACCAATGTAAGTTTGTGAAGCAATGCTTAAATCGTATCAAAATGACTTCCGCAAAACATGTCCCCTTGGGTTAATTTAGTCACTATTAGCCGGTTTAAATATACGTTCTACACTAGTGTTTACACAATTAGTGATGACGAAGCAACAATAATTGCTACTTCACAGACTCAATGTTCCTCACTTGCCAATGTGTAAACAGTTTCAGTGTATAATAAAAAGTGGTTGTATATATACGAGTTAATTCCATTATTCTGAAGGATCGATGTACCAGACATTACAGGCTTACTAATTCCGTGGTATTACATTTTTTTTTTTTTTTTTCAATATCACTTTATATTGCATTTAGTTCATTTGTAACTGAAGTTACCCGTTAATGAGCGTTTCCATCAGCAAAGTGGAAAGCAAAACGATTCTTAGCCACGAGTACTCATTGTTATATTGGTTAGCCGTAGGGGGTAGAATGAAAACTAATTGAACGGGAAAGTTGAGGCGATGTCTGCTGAACGTGACTTGTATGGCACACGACATCCTGGACTGTATCGGTGACTTTTCCACGAAATAGATATAAATCCGGGAGACGTATAAACCATCCGAGTACATATCATCACAAGGATTATAAAGTAAAACACTTCAAGCCACATAGATAGATTCAAAATGATAAAACATGTACGAGATACACTAATAATTGGAACGAAACCCTATAACTGATAATAAACCAAGTAAGCACGGTAATAAACCATTGCGATCAATGCCATCGACACACTGCTGTAAGGGGCTTTAACACAGCATATCGAATTACGTGGACATTTTGAAATAATTGGATTTATGTTATCTTTTTTCATTAAGAGTCACATAAAACCACTTAATATAGACTCTGTTCTCTACTTTTGCGAAGCTCAGGTTTTTTAACACTAACTTGTACAAACTATAGCGATCTACTTATAGAGTGTGGGTTGACTTTATCATTACTCTTTAAATCATTATATTTGTAATTTCGATATCTAACGTGAATAATCAGTATGTTAAATGGATTATTATTTTTTTGCAGCTTCGAATACCAAACCATGAAAATCTATTTTCTATTTCTAGTTTGAAAGATAACCCAGTAAAGATACTGATGTCTATCACTATCTGTGAGTGGACACAGCTTTATACACAAACAATGTACGTATTAAACGTGCCACAACGTGTAAAGTGTCATTGATATTCAATTATTCAAAACTGTCAATCTTACAGAAGATAAAACAGTTGTCTAGTAGTCTTTAAGGGGAGTAAGAAGCAATGTCTCGTCTTCTGAACAGTCATGTCTCAAGTATGATTATAGGAGTATCACTTAATTGACCCCTAATTGTAACCTTGAACTTTGACACACTTCTATAGAATTTACAGACATATATTGGAGCAAGAACATTTGGAGAATGGGGTTTTTTTTTCGTGAGAACTGAAATAGTTGGAATACACAGTATGTATAAGTAAGATGTTAGCATAGCACTATTTAAACACTTTAACAAGATTTGAATAACTCAATATAAAAAGCGATGTTAGTGTTAGCAGCACAACTCAAATGTGGGTACACATAACGTACAGTACCCAGCAGACCCTATGTGGAATATACAACATTAGTTTACACAAAGTTCACACCTGTGAGTATCACATGTTCGCGTTGCAAGTAGTATAATTGCGATGAAGAGTATTTGAGTATATAGTATTGTAAACACAGTATTTGAGTATATAGTATTGTATACACAGTATTTGAGTATATAGTATTGTATACACAACACGTGAGTATACACGGAATTCGAATATACCGAAGAATCGAGTATACTATTTCACAGTATCCGAGTACATGGTATTGTATTCACAAACGAGAGTATACTCAGGAATCGAGTATACTATTACAAAGTACTATCTGAGTAAATGATAACTGATTACTATACAAAAAACTTAGGATGAATTGAATACTACATGTACATACTAGATGTGAGTATGATTAAGTCAGATGTATAACACCCTCCACTCTAACGTACCTTGTCGCCTTTATTGCTGGCTCCACCTAGAAAAGGTTCTTGTAATTTTTTATCCTTCTTTCTATCTTTGCCCTTTTTCTCCTTCTTTTTCTTCTTGTCTTTCTTGTCGTCCTTGTTGAGCGTTGTCAATGCCATACTGTCGGCGTCGGAGCTGATGTGGCTGATATGGCCGTCTGAATTCCCGTGTCTGTGTCCAAATTTCCTAACCTGTTCACAAAGCGTATCAGTAATGTTGGGATTCATACAAAATGGGTTTCTCTCTTCCGGACAGTGATTCCAATATGTTCAAACAGTTCAGCACACACAATGAAATGATGGGGACTGAATTGTAAAATGTGTTATTTTTTTCGTATGAATTTCATCTATATCAGAAGAATATTTCATGTAACAGCTGTCAAACTGCAAATTAAGTATTCTGAATTAAATCACCATTATATAAACCAAAATGTTCAGGGACCAATATTTGGAATGCTGATATCAACATTAATCTGTTAGAACTCTCATACCTAGCGGTACCATTGTAGCACAACACATATTTCCTAATTCAATGAAATACGTGGATAGGTAAACATCATACGGGATTATGGAATGAGGTCAGATGTGACTGACCCAATATGTCAATATAGTTAATATGATAAATCACAGGATGACGAGGAATTGTGATGTACATGGCATCGGAATGCAAACTGTCCGTATTTGGTTGGGATATACCAGAATCTACAGAGCCTGGGCAGTCGTTTACACACCAACACACACGATCGAGAGTCTACAAACACGGACTACAAGTCAGAGATACAGCCATTGTAACGCCATAGAGATATAACTACATGTAGACCCACCCCACTAATTACCTAGCAGTACAACCTCACCTGTCACGTCAACACTCGTCCAGGACAAACCAGACACTCACAGACAACATCGTACCAACATTTTAACTAAAATTTTGATAAAAGTAGACCATTTTCGTCAGACTTTCCCAGAAAGAGTCGATTTAAATAATTTTCACTTCCGTCAAAATGTCTTCAAAATACGGCTTTTCAAACAGTTATCACCTTCATTTCCCCCATCTCGACATTCTTTACAACATCTTATCGACATCTAAAACCGACTGCATCTTTTTAATCGATATTTGGCTTTTCAGCATGAGAATTAGTTAGTCTATTTTATCAAAACTATTACGATGCTTTCCTCGCACTAGATTCTCCAAGTCCGTGGTTTTACCAACCACGTTAACCCCTCTAGGCTGCTGTTGTTTTACTTCTGTAACTATAGTAAATGCAATTTCTTTTGACCTCATCATTCAACGATGCTGATTCTGTCCAATTTGATATTCATCAGTGGATCAACTTTATTGTGATTTTATTTAGACTACACAATTTGTTCACGCTTTAGACTGACATATTTGGAGTCCGCGGAAACTAGAGCACATTACAACAGCGCTGATTGGTTGAATTTAAATTTGTTTTAGGTCGTATGGACTGAAGAAGCAATCTCATTTTCAAGACAGGGGTTCAGCGTGCTTCTTTAGAATAAATAGACTGAGATGTTTAGAATAAAATTCTCTCTCCCGAACTCTCTCGGCACCCCACGTTAACCGGTGTCCGTTTATCCACAGTTTAGCTCTAGCCTTATTCCGCATTAATGATCACGAGTTTCTGAGAGGAATCAAATGTCTGAACCAATATCATAATTCGCTGTTCGAATGCTCTCCATGGCTTTCACTATGATCGCTTGGCTGGGAACAGTTTTAAATCGTGTTTACCAGTTGAGCATATATCATTAGTATTTGTTTTCGGCATATCATACAAGTTTGTTGACTTTGTAGGAATTTCCTATCGTCATATATCCCACTATGTTAGCATTCGACAAAGCTGGTAAGTATTTCGGTTAGTGTAACTGGAGACGTGTGTACAATGCATTGATGGAAAAATAAACTTATTTTTGAAGTCTGACAATGTTTACTTCACGTCATACTTTGTTATGACATTTTTCATTAGCGCCGTCGTACATTTCTACACATCAACGCACAAAATTTTCTATAAATCAAATGTTACTCAACATACAATTAAAATCCAATTAATTATACCGTATGTAATATAAACGAAACAATGGAGAGCTTAACATAAACAATTCACGCGGGGCCATAAATCACCCCTGTTGACAGCGTTTACAATGTTGAGTTAAAACCAACATGAACCCGACTTAACCTTGTAAATATCTACCTGATGAAAGTCGACGTCGACGCCAGCGTTTCAATATCATCCACCTGCTTGTATCAAGGTTTAGGCCCCACGGGGTAAGATAAATCATACGTGATGACTGACCTATATAGCTACATGTCGATTTTGTTTCCATACCTACACAGAGTCGCCATTATAAATATATAAAGCAGGTATATATATGGAATCCCCCGGTCCGTTGCCCCAATATATGGCCATGGTTATAGGCCGTCCCATTGTCCACTTGTTTACGCTCAGTACATAGTCAGAGTTTCAGTCCCCCAAAGGGGACATTTACACTTTATCAAGTCCCACGTCTTATTCATAATAAATACATACTTACACGTATTTAACAACATAAATCCATAAATCTAGGTCCTACTATAGAAAACAGGGATATCGACTTATACATAGTACGTGTACGTGTGATTTAACACTACACAACAGTATCCTATCGGCAGCTATATATATACATATACCTGTATGCATACGTTCAAATCTTACAGTACCTATATCGCCATTAATGTTTACTTACCTTTCGTTTGGAAAGTATACATATCCCTCGAATATATACCTTGACAAGTCCAGAGAAATATCTTTAAGCTCACGATTTTAATGTTCACAAACGTTAATGGTAATAGTCCCGAGTATTTCAGTTAGTGTTGAGTGTCACTGTTAGTGTTGAGTGGTCAAGCTCGCGATCGGTCTCCACTGACCTGCTTTACATCAAGGTAAGTTCATCGGTGCAAGGCGACTGATAGTAAGGTGCCGACGTCACTTTGCCTGTATATACTACCTTATACATACAGCATGTGTGTTTAAATGACAGTGACGCTAGTGTCGGTGAGACGGAGGGAGTCTATATATGTGGTTATACCTAGCTCCCACAGCAGTGCTCTCCACCGTAAAACTACCTCCTACCTAACACAGCTACCAACATATGGCTGTCACCCTAAAACAAGCAGAGGACGCTGTGGTGGAGCTGCATGGAGACCTTTCCCGCTAAGCACGTACACTCGTTCCTGCATAAGTACATAGTTACGTGTCCATCGGAATTAGTATTTAGTCCAATTTGATACATAACACTGTCACGATGATAAATCTCGATGCTTTTTCACTCCGAAGCTTTATTTACCAATCAATATATTGAGCGCAGCCATAGAGTAATGGATTTAAAACTAGTGCTGCTAGCTACTTGTGTCTTTGCCCGTATTAAATCGATGAGACGTCCATTTCATTATCCCCCTATAACAACCCAGTAACAAAACGAAAGAATAAATAGACTATCCTTATTCTAATTACACCGTAATCAGGAAAGAAAACGGGTTTCGTCATCTATGGGAATTGTTGCCATCGAGTTTGGCGCCATATGTAGTGTTATGGAGACAGGAATGGAAATGGTTAGATGGAATGCGACACAAGAGCAAGGCGACAGTGTGTTCAACAGTTCGACTCGCCTGTATGCTTTATCTAATAACAATCCAAATCTTATAAAAAGCAACAAGAACTGGTCCTAATCGTTATCGACCGAACAGCAATAAAAGTCAAAATGACTTCCAACAATGAGACATAATGCAGAATAAATGCCTCTCAAAGAGTGACAGTTACATTTCAGTGGAATGTTATTTAAATTAGATTATGCCTTTAAAGTTCAATTACAAATGGTGTAAACCATTTTGTAATTCAACTCGCAAAAATCCCACTAAAATGAAAATAAACGCCAAGCTTGGAAAATTGGTTAATTCCTTTCCTATTGAGAATAGAAAACATCCCACTGGGCGTATATAAAACGTATAGATTTACCAAATGTCGCCACATGGAACATCACAAGGCTGACTGAATTTCACGGTACCAGTCTTAGGGAGTTTTGTGACAGTCCAGTTTACAATTCAGCACGTTAGACTGTATAACACCCATGGTTACACTACTCCTACGTGTTAAAGTTACCTGTAATGTAGCCCTCTCGTCAAAAGCGTCGTAAAACTCCATGCTATATCAGATTGTGCCGAAATTTCTCTCAAGAGGGAACAGAACGTTTGACAACATTTAAAGTTCAACCTCAGAGATAGATCTGTAGATAGTTCCCCGAGTAGGCTTTCCTTAAGCGTGGGCTTTCCGGTTCCCTGTTTTTTTGTGTCGTTGACTTTTCTCTCCTTGCCTCAGGCTAAATCATTCATTCATTTCTCAATCCTGTGTAGTATACCACCTCTGCAGGTAGCAATCACATAATATACACTTTAAAAAAGTATTACTTAAAGTAGTCAAATGGAAAAAAATGTATACACATGAAACTATTTTTTTTAACTGCTTAACACATTCAAATGTGTACAGTAACTGTCAACGTTGATGTAGTAGCAGTACAGTGTCGTTGCATGTTTTTTTTTTTAGAATTTCCATTAAATACAAGCGAATAATACATGTCATTTCCATAAAATATGCACCGCGTGAGTAGTATGTGTTATTACAGAGATGTACAGTTCTGACCTTTGCCAAAAAATCACAATTCAAATATGAAAACAACGAATGGGTTTGTGACACGGCTGACATAACATCAACACGCGTCAATCTTTCCACAGCTAGCTTTTCATATTTAACACTCAAACTTTTTTTTAAAGTTCTGAACTCATTGTTTAAATCAGTAATGCTCAATTATTTAACAAGAACAAGTATTTGAATCATTCACGTCCTTTGTATAACTCAACAAAAACGTACTGTTTCCCTAGTTTCCTTATTTACATCAGACATTCAGACAGTCTCAATGAAACTCTTTACAAACGGCCACATTCACATGAAAACTATACAACAATATTATGAATAATCTATATCAAAACATTCATCCAATCTTTGAAAACTAAAATACTCAAAAATCGAAATATACACCTTTTTTTGTAAATCATGTGGTCGGTCATACGACTGACCAAAGCGAATGCTTGCAGAGAAAAACAGTTAAAACACAAATGTATACGCACTGAGTACTTACTCGGCATGATCATGGGAAAGATGATAGTCAAAACAAACGAAGCAAACCTCTTATTTTCCTCTCTGACCATAGAAACGAGAGAAAACAGCCCTTTCAACATCTCGCGGTGACCGAACTCAACACATTTTAATCACCGGAAGTTTACAGAAAATTGGAAGCTCCGGAACAGGAATCGGCACAAATTTTCCGGACGGCGATATTTGAAAGTAATATACTCACGACAACAGCCACCTGTAGGACATCAGACAGTGTTGTATACACGAAGCACCTACTGATGGAAAGATAATCGCCGAGTAACTAGGAATTAGCGCTGAACCTATGACACATTGATATGATAAAGAAATTGGCAGGTCCTAGTTATATACACACAAATGTATATATACTTCACATGTGGATCGTTATAAATGCCACATAGATTCAACTGTTACATAATCATATCATATACGAATGTATTACTGCTATAATTCGTGGTATGTGGATTCGGTAAAAAAATAGTTACCCCGAAAATCCCGGTTTTTATACTATAAGTATCATCATTTGTATGTTTGTTGCAGGAAAAAAATCATATCTACAAAATCCCAATATTTGGCTTCAAATGGCCATCCAAAACTTTGTTAACCCACCCTCTATGAACTCTATGAATGAATTTCTATACGAAGTATGCGAAGTCTCGGTTACTTCGTTACCTTAGTAATTGAAGGATGAACAAAAAGCATCCTACTGTGTTTACCGTACTTAGTAACAAAGTTATTATACAACGTCCAATAAAGAATTCTGACAAGTATCTTTTCAATACAATTTTTTCTGGAATAGACAAATGTTTTGTTATTGTTTTAGGTTTTTTAAATACTTTAAGATTTGTCTGAAAAATTAAATTAAACCAACTTGTAAACACTAACTTGTCTAAAAAATGTTTTATTAAAAAATCACGTGATACACTTTTGCAGCGTCTTTTCTCCTTTTTCGGGGAAAAGAAACCATATAAAAATTTTGATTCTAAAATCAATTTTGTTTAGATCGTATTTCAGCTGTTATGGTTCGATGTATATAGTATTCCGAACGTTTTAAATAAAAAAATAAAAAAGATATCGGTTTTTTTCATACGCTCACTAAAACAATCCTAAAATTTATCGTGAAGTCAAAATGCAAATTTTGATATTTCTCAGTACATAAACTAAATCACGTTTCTTTACAGATGCGTTGATTGAGAATGTCATAAAAAAGAATCTCAGCGCGGTTTTTGTTCTATTTAACTTTTTCACGAATCTAACTCAAATTAATTTCAGAAAAACTTTCGATGATAACATGTAAGCCTTATAATGACGACACATGTATACTTATTGTTAGTATAAGAAGTATGACATCCTCAGTAGTAGTTAAAGATTTAACATACCACGTGTTTGAACACTTAATGCAATCACATCTTATAATTGTAAGTTTTATTCGATACTCTTATTAAACTAACCATTCACGACCAGACTAGCACATGTGCTCTTCATAATTAACACGTGTTTATGTTCCAGATAATAAGACCGACACCCCTAAATGCCAGAATAGATCACCAAATGGGCTAAAGGAATTGGATGTGTTCATTTGAAATACATTCAACGGTTGCGTTCAGCTTTAGTTTCATTTTTTTTACAGATTTTCAGATTCAGATTTTTATTTCTCCAAGACATACAAAGTATGTAACAAGAGGTCAATATGTATCATATTCATATATACATGGCGGATAACAAAGGCATAAAGGCTACAAACTAATTACATACATTCAATAGCTTTTCAAGTTTTTCTAGAAATTTGCTAACATTTTTTTAAACTTTTACATTGCATATAGTGAATAGTCCACGCATTTTAATAAGGCTAGGGTAAGTATAGTAGTAATTTGGAATAAATAGTTGTCTTATTTGTTTAACAGATACGTGTTCGCACTTGAATAGATAATGATATTCATCACCAATTTCATTAAAACAAAGATTACAAGTTCTGTTTTCTTTGGGTATTCCAATCCATCTTCCAGTTTCTATAGGTAAGTGCATATTTGAAGTTCTAAACTTAACAATAATTTGTCTTTCTTTTGGCTTTAGTTTCACAAAGAAATTTTCAAGTTCAAAATTTGTTTTAAAATTGGAATAGGTGGATCCTCTTGAAGAGCTCTCGATATCGTTAAACCATTTTTGGATAAACTGATCTTGTAAACTTTGTTTCACAACAAGTTTCAAATAATCTCTATTAAACGCACAGGTTTTCTGATATGCCCAGATAAAATTTAAACCTGTTTCTATACATATATCCTGAACATTCTTTAACCATTTGAACTCCATGATTCCATTTGTTTGTAAGTTAAATATTAAGTTATACATAGTGCTTGACAGACTATTGCTAGTTATCAATTTATACCAAAACAGAATTACTCTGGTTTTAACTTCAACATATAAAGGGAATCTCCCGATCTCTCCATAAACCATGCAGTTTGGCGTGCTTCTTTAAATACCCAATATACGCTAGCAGAATTGTAAATGTAGTTTTTCAATAGCGCTTAACTTTTCAAAACCCCATACTTCTACTGAATAGAGAAGTATCGGTAATACAAGAGAATCAAAAAAAAAAATGAAGCTCTACAGGTAATGAAATATTTCTTATTTTCTTGTACACAGCAAACATAGCTTTTTTGGACTGTTCCAACAATTTCATTAATTACATTAAACTTCAAAAATAGAGTTCAATCATAGTCTATGGCTTTAACCATGACTTCTTGCTTTCACCCCTCCCACATCAGCACGTGACCTGTCGACCCCTTCTGAGTTTCGATCCTTCTGTCTGGCTTGATGTATTATTCAAGTCGGAATTTTAGATAAGTCTCAAAATGGATTTTACGAAAATTGATCTGAAATTAAAATCTTCCAATAGAAAATCTATTCTCAATAACACTTTAAAGACAATAAGTTGAAGTTTAATATAATTTGTATACTCAGTTTCGTTAATACTTTAATTTCAATATCAATATGTTTATGCATTTAATTAACGTTGTTACTATTCTTTCGTGTAAGTTACATGTTTACATAGCACGGCTACAAAAAAAAAAAACTCACTTAATTTTCTCGAAGTTATGTCGTTTTGTCATATCAGACGACGCTTATTGTGACACGACAGGGACACGGTCACACAGGTT